GATAACACAGGAGTACTCAAAATATGCAAAAACCTTGAATTCTTTGTTTCTATCATATTGCATCCGACATGAATATTGCGCCTGTTAATAGAGCCGAAAGTCTGATTCCTAACTCCACCCTGGCCGATGTTCCTCTCTGCCTCTTTTGTTCTCCCTGTGTCTCTCACTATTAGCCCTCTCTCATCCCTCTATTTCCATTGCTAAACTGCCTCCCTTCATCCTTCACTCTCCCAGCCATCTGCTCCCCTGGCCCACGGGACAGTGAGCCAAGACTCAGGCAGTGATAGCCCAACATACACACACACATGCACACACACACACCAAAGAAAATCTATTCTGCAGTTGCCTCACACACTAAGCTAAATTGCTGTGAAAGAAAAGGAGGGGGGAAAAAACACTTCAAACATACATTTTATTCACAATCACTTTTAAAAGCAGCTCTATGTGTGTCTGAGAGGAGCAGACACATCCGCTCACTGATTTACATGCAAAGCTAAACCTCCAAGAAGTAAGCTACATCTTCACTCTGTCATTTGCACCCTCACATGATCAGACATTTTTATTTTGAACAATTTAACATCTAAAATCCACTTTCTTGTACCCCCTCCTCCTCTGTTCTACCCCATCACCAACTTCAAATTATTCAAAATCTAAGTGTTTGTAATCCGCATCCAATCTTCTCATTCTCAAAATAAGATTATCAGCGGTGAACAGAGCCTATGGGTGTATATGCAGGGATTTAACAGTGAGCCAGTAGGCAAAGACTAATTAGGGGCGAGGTTCTTTGTTGCACCGGTGTTGGCAATTTGCTCATCCCCTTAATCATCCAATTTAAACCGCACAGAGAGGAGGAGGGGGCGGGTGTAATTTGTTTTAAACCATACTGCATTGTTTCTCTTGGGGGGTAAAAACTCACCGTGGTGATCCTACAACGGCTCTCTGGGGCGTTTAGTGAGTTTGGAGCCACCTTGTACTTCTTTATCACTTTTCTACAGAGATTTGTTGCGTTTGTGTTTATAGGGCATTTCCTGCTACAATATTCCCTTAAAGATGCTTGCAGTGCGGAGCAGTGAGTTTACACTGACCTTAATGTGCATTATGTTATTTTTATCCCATGCTGATGCGCCTACATTTCTGCTGCGACATAACTGCACCCTACCCTGAAATTTACAATTAAACCTTCCCTATATATATATGTTATATATCATATAACATTTTTTCTTTTATATATATTTTTATATCATATCATTACAGACTGCCCTATGTGGGTCCCGAGAACTGTATGCTTTAATTTATTCCCGCTTTGCGGTATAGGAACCGTCTTACCAGAGATTTGAGTCAGCGGAGCGGTGCTTGTGCTGTACCCCTTCTCCAAGTACACCTGCCTGGTGTCCGAGCAGCTTCTCCCCGCTGCAGCCAAAGGGCTCCGGGTCCCTAAAAGGGCAGCAGCCGTGCAAAGAAGTACCAGCAGCCGACGACTGGGAAAAGACACCCTGGTATCCATCCTCACTGCAGGACTTGGGGGGGAAAAAAGCAGACTCCAGTAAAGGATAAAGCCAGACTGTGGTTGCAGCAGCTTATAAATGAATGAATGTCTGGCCGGTTTGGATGCACGCAAAAGTGTAAGGAGTAACGGGATCCCAAATCGTCAGTCGTTTGAAACAGTCATAGTTTTTCCCCAATAAGTGCAATGAACATCCGGGCCGGGCTTTTACATCACAGACAGGCCTGCGTTTCCATCGGCCGTGTTCATTTAATTTGTCCTTCCTGGGAGACCCGCTGTTATACGTAAATATATGGGAGTGTGAAAGAGGCGCTCCCGGCCCACAGCATCATCTGACAGGCAAACTGCGTCAAACACTCGGGACGTAACCAGGGTGATACCGGAAGGAGGGCTGCTGTCAAAATAAAAGGGGATGCTTGTAGTTGATGGGACAGCCAGAAAGACTACGTAAGGACATAACAAAAACAACAACCGTATAATCATGTTTTTATTACAATTTTTGAGCATTTGAAAGAAAGAGTCCCAATTTTGATTCATACTTTCATTCATTTCACAAGGGAAACTGTTTTACAGCAGCAGCGAAAATAGTAGTCTACAATAGATAAAGAGTATAACTAAAGTAGAAGTGCCACAATAGTGCAAAAACTGATGTATGCATGAGTGATTTTATAAAAATTACCTCAAGTTAAACAAGAGTAAATGAATGAGCAGAAGACAGGTGTAACAGTGGAGCTGCAAGGAGCAGAGATGGTGGATGAGTTTAAATACCTGGGGCAAGCCATCCAAGCAACGGACAGTGAAAAGGGGGTGGAGTAGGTGGAGAGGAGTCAGGGATGATTTGCGACAGAAGGGCAGCACCAAGGGTCCAATAATTTTTTTTTTAATAAGACATTAGTGAGTCCTGCTATGATTTATGGTTTGGAAATGGTAATGCTGATAAAAAAGATAGGAGGGAGCAGCTTTAAGATCCTAAGATTTTCAGTCGAAGTGATGAGAATGGACAAGGTTAAACTAAGTACATGAGAGGGACAGCTCAGGTTGGACAGTTTGAAGACAAAGTTAGAGAGGCAAGGCTACATGTGCAAAGGAGGGATATTGGACAAAGGATATTGAAGATTGAGCTGCCAGGCAGGAGGAAGGCCACAGAGAAGATTCATGGATTTAGTGGAAGAGGACATGAAGATGATTGATGTGATGGAGAAGGATCCTAGGAATAAGGTGAGACAGATGAAGGCAGATGATCCACTGTGGTGACCCCTAAAGGGAGCAGCTGAAAGAGGATTTATCAGCATACATGGAAGCTAAAGTTTGTCTTTATACTTTCCTGCTTTTACATTTTCTATTGCAATAACTGCTATTAACTAACTGTTATTTCACTGGCTGTTCTGTCGATCATCTTTGAATTCCACTATGAATGCATCTATAAGTCACCGTTCATGTGGGATATTGCCCTAATATGTTGGACAAGAGGATCCCTTTTCCCAGAGAAACAGTACACATGGTCTAATATTAGTTATATGACAGTCTGCATTATTGTTTTGTAATCATTGGCTGTGTCAGTTCAGCGAGAGAGTTATTTGTAAAGAAAACTAATGTGTACACTTGTCTCCATTTTTATGTTGTTAAATGCGAACAAAATATAGCAGTACATGTCTGGCCAGAAAGAGAGCACCAATTTGTTTATTTGGTAGTTCGATAAAAGGCTTCAGTTAGTTAAGAGTAAGAAAAAGAAAATTCCGTTCACATTTGCAGTTTTGTCTGGTTATACAATATTTGACATTTTAAAAAACAAACAAAACACAAAAGTTTTTGCAAATATTTGTAGGTGTTTTCTTGTTTTTCGGGTTTTTTGTACTACTTGTACACTAAAGTGGCCCTCCAATGAAATGACCGTACCAGCAGTGGCCCACAGCTCATTTAAGTTTGAGATCCCTGCTTTAGATTAATCTCATGTGATTTACATGAGAACATCAATATTTTATTTTGAAGGTGAAGACCAGAAGTTGTGTTTCACCCAGGCTGTTTTGACGCTGGTCACAGCCTTTCAAACACAGAACAATGGACCAACTGGGAACTGAGGGGTGAGGATCCTGCGGTGGCGGGGCAGGGACCAGTCAACCACCTCAGGGTGCTACAAGCTATGGATGCAACCATGAAACCTATGAACACAATATACATAATGAAAACTATCTATATGAACACAAGAGTAAATTAGCTGCAAGGTGAAAGGGTTGCGAGTCACGGAGATATGTTTAACTGGTACCATTTATTGCCAATACTACTAGACAACCATACAGAAGAATTGACCAATGAACATCGAGTTATTTTCTGCCAGGACCAATCACCTTCTAGTAACAATCCACAGCGGCGCGCTTTCGGCAGTTCGCAGTTTAGGAGGAAGAAAAGTTAGCCAAGGCAGAAAATTACTCAACACTAACTATATTATCAAGTGGTAAACTGATATCCTTAATCTGGTAGTGGTTGCTACTGAGTAGTTTCATTTGAAATACTTTAAGTGCGTCTTAAGAGCTTCATAAGTTGAGTTTATCAAACAGGCTAATGAAGTTTAGCTTGTCATCTTGCTAATTTTATTTTATACTGTATCTTTCTTCACAGCCTCCACTCCTGAATATAGTGAGTCTGGTACATTCCTTCAGCCAAAATGGCAAGTGGGAGTTCAGCTTTGGACAGGTAATGCTGATACTTTGTGTTAAAATGTCAAAAGGTTAAGAGAAATTAAAATAATAATTCTAATTTGACAGCGTTCATATTAAAAAGCATTGTGAAAGTTGCTACTAATGCTCTGGGTGCTCTGGCTGAAGCTAATAGCTTAAGGGTTGTATAATAATTCTACTTTTTCATAATGATACCTGCCTGTTTTCTTATCACCCTTCATTTAAATTCATCACAGTAAAGCTGATTTTTTTTTGTCTAACTTGTCAATTATTTCCCTTGTCTTTTAGTCTTGAGGAGTTAGATTCCCCCACTGACTCAGGCAGTGACTATGAGGCCACCATGAAAGGAACAAAGCGAAGAAAACCAGCAGTATCTAAGCAGGTGGATTTTTGTTTTCTCTTTAAAATAACTTTCTGCTTTTTTATTAGTGATTGTAAAAGATAAATCTGCCATCACAATAGCTGCAAATGTTGTATTTATAGACCTTTCAGAAATTCCATTTGTGTCACTTGGTGACTGTCAGACGAATGCAACTACAACAGAAAAGACATTACATGCACAGCTATTCGCTTTCTTCTCTTGGCTACTCCCCTCAGGGTTTGCCACAGCAGATCATCTGCCTCCATCTCACCTTGTCCCTAGCATCCTCCTCTGTCACACCTGCCCTCTGCATGTCCTCCTTCATTACATCCATGAACCTTCTCTGTGGTCTTCCTCTTTCCTCCTGTCTGGCAGGTCCATATTCAACATCCTTTGTCCAGTGTATCCATTATCTCTCCTCTACACATGTCAAAACCATGATGGTGTATTCACCATGAAGAGCCTGTAACTCATCACTGATGGTTTCTTACCCCTTTTACACCACCCTTCCCAAAGTTGCTGACTTGTTGACTGTATTGTTGCTGACGTGCCTCCCATGTAAGGGAGGTGAGATTGCAGTAAAACAAAAAGTTAGAGTGCTCTCAGCAAATTACCAATAAAAAAAAGAACAATATATATCTGCCCACATCAAACTGACTCCACTTTCTCATCAAGTATAAATGTTATAATCCTTTTTTTTAATGACACTTATGCTTGATTCCTATGATAGTTTTTCATCAATCACTATCCCTATGTATTTGTATTCATTTACAAATTCAGTACAGTTACCACTTACCACTACCTGTTGTTGTCCCTGCCTGATAGCAATGAAATTAAAAATATATATATTTTGTTTTCTTGGTGTTTAACTGAAGTAAAACATCAAAGTCATCCAGATATCCACAATACTTTGCTCCAGGTTCTGTGGCCAAACTGGTAATCACTGTGTCATCAGCAAAAAGACAACAACACTATAATAGATGTCTAATATACTTTATTTTGGCATGTTGCTTGTTCAGATCACAAGCAAAATGCATTCTAAATCCTTAAATAAATCTCTTTCATCTCAAGCCACCCAAGAGAACCAGGCATAATGCTGCACTGAAGGGGATGTCCAGCCCCAGTGGCAGCTCAGTTCCCACCCCTCCAGGTCCTTCCCCACAGTCCGTCTCCCAGGGGACATCCATGCAGCTCTCTGCTAGATCTGTTAGGAGCATGAACGGGGAGAGCCAGATTATCAGCGCAAAGGATATCTATGATGCTGTCTGCTCTGGAAAGAGTGCCATGGTGGTGAGCAAACCCCAAGCAGAGGAGTGTGGAAGGAAGGGGGAAGGTAGCTTAGAGATAAACACATGAAGGGAGGGGGTACTGAATGAAGCATGTGTAATTATAAGAGAAAGAAGCTGACAATGAGGGGTTATCATGTGCTGTCAGTGGCTGACTGATGTGATCCTACACAAGTGACTCTGATACATTAAGAGAGACGGGTGTTCTCACTGGACCATGTAGTCAATGATTGACAGCACTTGTCTATCCCAAGTATTGTTCTTGCTATAGCTGCTTTTGGGTAAAGACTACAAAAGAAAGGCAGCATAACAAAAGAAATACAGTAATAAATTGTCTGTCACTACAGTGTAGAACTGCAAGACAATGCAGACGGGGACTCTGGGGGGAGGCTCATTATGCACATTCAGAAATTCTGGCAAATGGAAGTTAAAGAAATCTCTTCTGAAAAGGTTTCACAGTTCTCAGCTAAAGTTGACTGCTTTACAATAGGTTACACTTCCAGTATCAAGAGAATGGCTTCTGTGAATGGGTGTCTGCCATACTGCAATTTAATAGATTTAACCAGGAAATAAAAAGCTCCCGCCTTATAGTGCAGAGCATATAAAAAGCCAGTTTTTAAGCTGAAATCAGTAATGTTGTTTGACTGATATATTCTTAACGTGTGTATCTGCTCTTTGATCTGAATGAAGCATTTTCACTGGCTGCTTTCTCCCTGTCAATCTTAAGACGGTGGTAGACGAGTGGCTGGACAGCTATAAGCGGAGCCAAGAGGCGGGACTGCTGGTGCTCATCAACTTCATTGTTCAGTCCTGCGGATGCAAAGGTCAGAGGTTAAAAGACAGGCCAGAAGATGGGTAGTAGAGGGGGTGGGGGTGAAAGTTTTAGAGATTGAAATTTTGACTCAGTCATCAATAGCGTTTCTGCTAGTAACCCAATGATGCAATGTTGAGACGAGAAAACAGATATTTTGCAAGAGTGGAATGAAAATGAGAGGAAATCGTGTAGATGAAATTATTACTAGGTGAAGTATTCTAATTATTGTAATATTAGGTTCATCTGAGGGGGGGTTACTTAATTTCCAAATCTGGAACGTTTCTTTATCCTTTAACTTTTTTCATGTCCAGGTGTTGTTACCAGAAAGATGTTTGACAGCATGCAAAATGCTGAGATCATCAGCACCCTAACCAAAGAGTTCAATGAGGTGAGGGAAAGGGGAAGAAAGCAGTTCAGCTGTAGTTTGGTTAAAATGTATTTAAAATATAAAGCTTGTTCCTACAGGAATGAAAGTTTGAATGTAGTTTGTAGTCTTTGTCTGTCTTCTGCCTACAAATCATCCTTCTGGAATTAGTTCAGAAACTTTAATAGCCTTCATGTCTCAAGAGATTGTGATCTGAAGGTTGGAGCACAGCATGATGGAAAACTCTCATTAAAATTTAATGCTGATAAATGGACACATTAATGAGTTAATCACTTTGGTTTTCCACTGATGTAATTGTCATTAGCGGAACAAACCAGAAGTTTGTGCTTCAGATAACTACATGAAGCATAGAATAGGAAGCTTAAAGCTCTTTGTCTCTCTGCTTCCCCCCCTTTTCTTCCAGGATTCAGTGAACTACCCTCTGTGCACTCCAGGGCCCCAGCTGAAGCGTTTCAAAGCAGGCCTGTGTGAGTTTGCTAGGGTTCTTGTGCGCTCCTGTCGGAATAGCCTTGTTTATGATGAATACCTCTTCCCTTCCCTGCTGGCTCTACTCACCGGCCTCTCAGACTCCCAGGTCCGAGCCTTCAGACACACCAGTACCCTGCTTGGTGAGCGATCTGATTCATGTGTATAAAAAAAGAAAGGCATACAAACACTTATAACAGCATAGTTTTTAAACAGAACTCTTGCCATGATTAAGGTAGTTCAGTGCAATTTACTTTTGTACTTGATACATAGAGTGCCTTTAATCTGCTAATGCAGTGTGTTAATTAATAGGTTTTATTAATAATAGGTCAAATAAAGCTTAGCAGCATATCAAAAATTAGGTTAGTCTGGGCAGGTTTGATTTTTGGTAAGAATATACTTGCGCTTTTGTACTTGTCAATAAAAAGTACATACACCTTCTGCAATAATATGTTGTTTGAGAGTACTTTATAGACTTTTCTATCTCCATGTTTTCCTCTGCTAGCCATAAAGTTGATGACGGGGTTGGTGGAAGTAGCTGTAGTAGTTTCTGTTCAGCTGCAGACCACCCAGCAGCAATACAACACGGAAAACAGCAAGAGGGCGCACGACAGAGCCTCTGACAGACTGGAGGAACTGCAGGCCACCGTTAAAGAGGTGACACATGTAGACACACAAAGAAAAACAAAAGTTTAGAGACACAGCCACTTTTTCGTTAACACATAGGTCACAACATTAAAGCTGTGACATCTGCTTTAGGAAAAAAGTAATTGAAGAACATGTTTTGCAAATATCCCTTAACATAATTAAAATTATTGGCATCACTACACCAACATTTTCTTCTTTTGTTGCCCAGGTTGTTTAATGGCTGTCATGTTTGAAATAGTTTGTATTTTACTAACAAAATATCCATTCTCTTCTGCTTATCTGATTTAAGTGCTTGCTGACGTTTCCTATTTTGCTCATGTTAATTTTTGAGTTGTGCAAGTACAGGGACAACAGGAAGTGCACGCTCTGTGAGGAATAGTAAAATATGTAAAGTAGCATTTATACAGTTTTTTGTGCCTATGTTAATCTGATAATCATCAGAGTTATCACCTTTTGTTCTATAAGGAATGGTCGTTGCTATTTATTCTGCCCACTTCAGCAAAAGATGGTTACCACAGCAGATCAATATACCGACAGTGTTGGAGTCCTGGTGGACTCATTTATTTAGTCTTTCTGTACAGTATGTGTGTGTCTGAGTGGCTCTATTTGATATTTGTTTGTTGTAGTTGCGAGAAAACAGAGAGGAGCTGTCCTCCATGATGAATGCCACTTTCCGTGGTGTGTTTGTGCATCGTTATCGGGACCAATTGCCTGAGATCCGGGGAGTGTGTATTGAAGAGTTGGGCCTTTGGTTGAAAATGGACCCTGAGGACTTCCTTAATGACGGATGTCTTAAATATCTGGGATGGACCATGCATGACAAGGTACACACACATAGAGAGGACAAAAAGTGTATGTCCACTGACTTTTGGAAGGGTGAATGCATGTAAGCACTGTTTGTCTGCAAATAGTTATAGCAAAGTCTAGGTGTTGTCTTGTCCTTTTTGACCATTCTATAAACAAATATGTATTTTAAGCTTAATTTCCGCCTAAAAAGTAGATTGTTTTTTTTCTCTGGTGAAGGGTGGAATATTAAAAACCCTAACAACTTCCTGTAATGTCATCCCTTTATTCACATTAAACAGCATCATTTGTCACTGAGTGCAACCAACAGTAGAGATGGAAGTAATTTTATGTGAAATTCCTTTTTCCCTCAATGAGAACCTTCAATTTTGGTATTCATGCTCTTGTAGACTTCCTACAGACGACACTATGGCAGAATATGTACAGACAAAGGAAGACTCACATTTTCACAAAGAGAAATTCCACTATGTACAGGCTTGAGCACAAGTCTGTATTCAGGTTATAGAAAGAGTGTTACCATACTCTGTTTTTTCCTCGCCCTCAGCAAAGTCCGGTGCGTCTGCAGTGTGTGCGTGCCCTGCAGGGTCTGTACCAGGAGAAGGAATTCATTGGGCGCCTGGAGCTTTTCACCAGCAGATTTAAAGTGAGGCATCCCTCTGGATTGGACTCGGCCCATTTAATTCTTCTTGTCTCCCTCTTTTCTTTCTCCCTCTTGACTGTCTGCCTGTCTCAGCATCTGCTTTTAATCTATTGTTTCAGCTTTTTCTATTGTTTCTATTTTGTTGTCTGCCTATGTCTTCCCTCCCAGTATTTTGTGCCTCCTCCCTGTATTTTCTTCCCTTTTGAGGTTTTTTTTTCCACCATTCCTGTTTGTTGTTATGGTTTTATCCTTTGTCTGGGCATATGTCTGGGTGCATTAATTGCTGCCAATTACTGATGGTTAATAAGCTCTTTTCAAACATATAAAAACCCTCCTAAGCCACATGTGCTGCAGCAGATAAATGGTATTTATGCCATGGCTTAGTGCCTAATGATGGGGCTCGTGTGTGTGAATGTATGTCTGTTGATGTGGGTGCATTATGCATAGCTACTGAATGTCTGTTGGCATGATTGAACAGTATTCTGTTTATGTGCCACTGCATATCTAAATGTCTGTGTGTGTTTAGGAGAGAATTCTCAGCATGGTGCTGGACAAGGACCCAGACGTGGCAGTGGAAGTGGTCAATCTGCTGCTGCTGATCCAACAGTAAAGGGCTTTTTCTCTCTCGTCCCCATGCTTTGTTCTCATTATCTGAGGAAAAGTTGGAGCTCAAAGTATACCAAATATAGCACATTTTAATGCCGGAAGTGTATACTTTTGAGTTGCATCACAGAAAAGTCATATCCAATTCTGTGATTCAGTCTTGTTTTCACACATTTAGCATTCATTTAGAAGTCAGAATAAGAAACTTTAACACCCAGTTTCTTATTTTAAATATAAAGATGCTTACTCAACCAACATATGTGATGGTTCCACATAACTCCTGCACTCTGCTTGGTCATGATTGCTGATGATTCATAGCATCAGTCGTGATCTAATGCTTGCCAACATCTCACACCTCTGACTGCAGTGAAATTAGATGTTTTTAGGGGAAATCAAAAAGATGAACAAAAATGAACTGAAACTGCTGGTTTTTGAAATGTTTGTCATCTTCTTTATCTAGTGTATGTACCTCAGTTGATCAGTACATTTTTATGTGTGTACTTGCAGGAGAACAGATGAAGGACTGGACGAAGAGGAGTGTGGCCACATTTATCCACTGGTTTACGCTTCACACCGAGGTCTGGCATCTGCAGCTGGTGGCTTCCTATACAGCAAGTACGCTTTAACCACACTTGGTCGCAGAAGTGGTTACAGAAGTGTAAATGTTGCTGTTTATTTATTTATTTATTGCATATTTCTTTTACAAAAATGTTCTAATTTTTGTTGGATTTACTAATTCAGGGCAGCACGGTGGCACGGTGGTTAGCACTGTTGCCGCACAGCAAGAAGGTCCTGAGTTCAATTCCACCATCAGGCCGGGGTCTTTCTGTGTGGAGTTTGCATGTTCTCCCCGTGTCTGCGTGGGTTCCCTCCGGGTACTCCGGCTTCCTCCCACCGTCCAAAGACATGCAGCTTGTGGGGATAGGTTAATTGGATAACCCAAATTGTCAGTAGGTATGAATGTGAGTGCGAATGGTTGTTTGTCCCTGTGTGTTAGCCTTGCGACAGACTGGCGACCTGTCCAGGGTGTACCCCGCCTCTCGCCCTATGACAGCTGGGATAGGCTCCAGCGCCCCCCGGAAAAGGATAAGCGGAAGTGAATGGATGGATGGATGGATTTACTAATTCATTACTGACCCTCAAAAATAAAGTGGAAATTCTATACAAACATGTAGTTTGTATAGAATTTTTATTTTTCTATTTTTTTGTATTTTATTTTTTTTAATTTTTGTATTTTTAGTTAATATTATGTAAAATGTTCTTGTTTTTTATTTTATGTGTTTATGTTAGGCTGAAAAGTGTGATTACCAGTCACAGCCAGGAGAATGACAAAGCCAACAATGCAGCCTTTTTTCAAATCCTCATCTCCTTCTTCATCCAGAGTGAGGTAGTATTTCTTTCTCTCTATGCCCCCTCTCTTTCATTCTCCTCTGTTTGGAATTTAAGGCGATATGAAAGTACAAAAATGCAGAGCGGAGCCAAGAGGATGTTACTCAAGTTGGTCAAACCTGTTAACCTTTCTGTGAACGCATCAGCTTTCTGGCAAGAGTTCATCATAGATTGACAAATGGTGACCCTAAACATCTGTGTAACATCAGGGAAACTAGTCTTGACCAGCGCAGACGCAGGAGGACATGCTTTAACTCTGACTTAATTTCAAATATAGAGACTATATAATACTTATTAACACACTGTAAAATTTTCTTATGAAAAAATTAATCCAACCATATTCTGCTGCTAGTCTGGGGGCAGCAGTCTCGGGGAGACGCCCAGAGCTTGCTGTCCACAGCCACCTCCTCCAGCTCCTCTGGGGTGACACTGAGGCACTGAGACAGCCAAGAGATGTAATTGCTCCAGCTTGCCCTGGGTCTTGTATGGGGCTTCCTCCCAGTATAATGTCAAAAACACCTTTGCCAAATTGGCACCCAGGAGGCATCCTTATCAGATATCCAGACCACCTCACTTGGCTCCTTTGATGTGGAGACACATGCTAAAAAATCCATTCTCCTAACAGTTCCATGAGCATGGGGCATATCTGGTGGACAGCCTTTGGCATGTGGCAGGATCTGAGCTGAGAGACTGGGAGACAATGACCACTTTCCTGCTACAAGATGATGGTGAGGAACAAGATAAAACTGTAAACATGACAAGAGTATGAGCCTAAGCACGTAGCCATTTTTCCCCAGCACCAATAAAAATGGCAAGTTAGTGATAGCTGCTCCTTTTTGTTCCTACTCTGTTTCTTCAACTGTCTGTTTTTGTGTTGTCAGAACTGATGTATGAGGAGGAGGGTGTGCTCATAGAGCTGATGATGTGTGCGATCAGACAGGCAGCACAGGCAACCCCACCTGTTGGGAGAACTCAGGGCAAAAAGGTGGTGACACATTCAAATGCAAGAATAATGCTGTGTGGCTTGTGTTTGATGGAACAGTGGAGGCTGTAAATGAAATATTTTATGACACATTTTGCACATTTTCTCCACTAAACTTGCCTGTGATTGATTGCTGAATGGTCATGTGGGATTAGAACCTAAGTATGAAGGATAAGAAAATCCAGGAACAAGACAAGAGACGCATCACAACACACTTCATCCCTTTACTGCCACAGCTGCTTGCCAAGGTTCATTTAAATACAAATATTCAGCTTTTTTATTGTTGCTTTAAATTTTTAAAGAAGAGTTTATGTTTATACTGACCTGCAGTACTCAGCGGATGCAAAGAACGTGAAACTGCTCCTCAAAGCTCCCCTGTACTTTGACCTGGAGATGTACAGCAGCGCTCAGTGGCTGGAAAAGGTAGGAGGACCAGAAATGTGTTTATTGTCGTCAATATGTAATGAAATATATTTAGAAAGTATTTGTGCTTCTATATTTTTTTTCTCTTATTCAGTATCCAAGTTAGTTCACGCTCAATGTGAATTATATGGTAATAATATAAAGAAATCGGAGAAATTAAGCTTAATGGCTTAAAGAGAAAAAGAGGCTACCAATGCTCAAAGACAATTTTATTTCTTTTATTTTGGAGCTATTATTTTATGATTTAGCATCTTAAAATAATGCAAATATAATATTCCAATATTAGAGGAAAGTGAACTGAAGCCTGTCAGGTCCACAGTTAAACAGTGGCTGACTTTCAGGTCATGCCAGCTGTGAGTTTTAAGCTTGCCTGCAGTTAGAGATTTCCTCAGCCAGATGCTGAACCAGTGGTTCAGTTCAGTGTCTTTGAGTGGGAGGGCAAGCGATTTACCTTTAAATAATTACTATCCTAAGCGTTACATTCATATTCTACTTCTTCTGTTCAGCATTTGGACCTGCTGCTGTCCCAGGTATGTGGCATTGTGGAGAAGCACACAGAGGTCGCCGTACTGGAGGCTTGCGCCCACCTGGTCAGCGCTCTCAGCTCCGACTGCTACACCTTCTCCTCCCGCGCACAAATGGCATTCAGCCAGCTGTTTGATGTCCTTACCGAATGTTTCAGCACCTACGTAAATGACCTGCTCCAGGTTGGAGAGTGTGTCAGTGATGCTTGCATACCAGCAGATACATTTTATATTGTGCATGTGCATACTGTATACTTAAATGCAAGTTTTGTTGAAATGTAATACATTATGTTTTCTTGTTTTTAATCCTCTGTTTTGGTTTTTTTTTGTTGTGAAACACTTTGTTATCCTGGTTTTGAAAGGTGCTAAATAAATACAAATTTAGTTATGTATATAAGACATACATACAGAAAATACATATAATAATGTATGTAAGTATGTATTATCTTACAAGGACAGATTCCTCAAGAAAGCGGATGTACTGTGCTTATTTTTATGTCCATATTTTCATGTCTTGGACTAGAGTAGCTTTGCTTGATTCACTGTAAAATAATCTTAATTAAAAGGTTGTATTGGGCCTCGTTGCTGCCCCTCAGTTCATCCTCTGTCAAGCCAATATAGCTAATTTGTCTCTCTTCCCTTTAAGCTGGCTTTGTTATGATTGGCTGCCCTTTGTAAACAGAAGGCTTGCAAAGCATGCGGGTGGGGGGTGGCATTTAAAGCAGTCTGAAAGCTGTGCTGTTTTAGAGGAATTATGTCAGTATGACTCATATGAAACATGTTTAATATCATTTGTATTTATGAAAGAAAATAGATCAGAAACTTTACAAGAATTTAGTTTGGGTTTTTTTTGTTGGATTGGTGTAGTATTGCATGAGTTTTATTTAGTTTTACTGAGATACTAATAATGTATGATGAAAACTGGAAACAAAAACTGAAATAATATCGATGTGGAACTATTATCTGTATCATTTTGTGTTTGTGACCTAGGGTATTGCAGATGATGATGACACATACAGTGGAGCCACTGCCTTAAAAAGGATTGCTGCCCTTAGCAGGTATGCTGTTATAATGCATGCGACAATAGTATTAAATAATTCTTACACAGAAGTATGCAACTGTATTGCGTGTGTGTGCATTATCTCCAGTGCTAAGGACCCGACTGCCTGGAAGCTGTTTGATTCCTGTCTTGAGCTGCTGAAGAGCCGGATGGAATCCAGAGAGCTTGATAAGGAGGTTTCTGCCAATGTTTCATATTTGAGGGGGAGGATTGTGAATGTCATGAGTATTGCAGTGCCATTTTATGAAAATAATAAGTAAAATGGGGAATGTAATGAATTTCTAGTTAACAAAACATGAATGTCATATGAATTGCAAGGCTAAAAATGTGATCCCTTAATTCTCATGTCATGTTTTTAGGTTTTTGTACAGGAGTAGTTTAAGGAAAACATTTTATTCTAATTGAAGGTCAATAATTTTAACTCTCTTTTGTGTCATTTCAGCTGATAGAGCCAGCTATGAAGTGTGCAGCTTTTCACCTGATGTGGGCCAAAGTGAATGTGGTTAACTCCAAGCCAACTGAGGTGCTGGTCTCATGTTATAAAACCACTGTTTGTCCTCCAACAAGGTTTCAAATGATCTGAATCTTTATTCTCAGATAAACTTTCGGTTATGGGTCCCGGTAGTGTCAGTCTACCTGCATGAAATAAGCTAAGCTGCATGATTAATACTTTCATAATGGCTATCACATCACAGGCAGCCCTAGGCGACCGTGCTGGTGGCCTTCTTGTGTGTTTGTTAAGCTTTTCTTGTCTGTGTTGTCGAACAATTCACCAGCTGCGCAGACAGCAGGCAATTAACGCAACAGTCTGTTAGAGTGCATCTGAGCCCACAGCGACACTCGGATATTTATTTCCCACCGCTTCACACTTTTTCTTATTGATTGTCTTCACGTGTTTCCTGTCTCATTCTTGCTTCTCTTTAGTTTCTATTCTGTCTTTCTGAGCTCGTTTTCACTTTTTCTGCTGTTTTTCTCTCACTCATTTTTTACACACACTGAGCATGTCATTATTACTCATGCAGCCATTTGTGTGTTTTTCTCAACACTGTTCCAGAGAGAACACATCCAGATCCATTCCTCTTGATCAGTCATTTTCATTCCTTGTCTGTTCATGTTTTGATTGATGACTCGCACAGCTTTTTCTCTTCCTGTGTGCACTTAAATTGTGTTTTCCCATTGGTATCACATTATTACTGTTACAGTGGTGGATGCTCATTCTAAACAAAGTTTCAAATAATGAGTTCAGCCAAAAGGATCATAACGGGAGAGGAGATGAAATGGCTTGTTGATTAACTGAGGGGCTGTAACAAGGCCTAGATAAAGATAAACGGGGATTTGTGTGTGTGTGTGTGTGTGTGTGTGTGTGTGTGTGTGTGTGTGTGTGTGTGTGTGTGTGTGTG